AAAACAACTCACAGTTGAGTAAAATTATGCTCAAAATTGTGATATATTGCCTGTTTTAAATTATAATACAATTTTATTCCACCTGGAGGTAATGGCAAAACAGAATATAAAATTATTTGAAGAAAACATCATTAGACTAAAACGGATAATACTTAATCTAAGATGTTTGTTTTAAGTTGAGAACCGACCAAATGCTCACTCACAGCGTTAAGAGCCAAAAAGCTGTCAATTTCTCTGTCAACTCATCATCTCAGTGCAAACATTTCACCGGAGCGTAATTGAATTTGTAAACAATGACTTTAGCCGTCGATTTCTCACGAATAAAAGCTCATGAAAATGTATGACACCAACAGGTTGTTAATTTGGAGAGGTGAGCTTTTAGATGCGAGAAATAGACGTCTAATGCCATTGACTACACACACAAAAATAGCACTGATCTAAACTACTCACACGCGGTGGGCTGTCCGCCAGCAGTCTGCCGGCGCAACATTTGAGTGGACGAGGCGAAAACTGGTTGTGGATTATGCAGCATCATTTTGTTTTTAAAACGGTTTTAATTTAATAACACATGACTTAATTTTAATTATTATTTAACAAAAAATCTTCTAACTTACATACATGTTTTTTTATTAAATAGATTTTAACCTAACAATAATAAGTCTGTTCCCGTACTTGCTTTATACTTTTTCTGTAGATTGCTGCAGCTTTCTGTAAGTTCATGTAAGAAAATAATATGTTGCAGCAAGTACGGAAACATACTTTTGCTCTTTGCTCTTACAGAAAAGCAAGTACGGGAACAGACCTAATTTCTTACAAACTATTGGTGAATTTGTCTTTTTTTTTTAAATTAATTTATTTGATAAGGCTCAACCGAATTAACTTAACATCTTAAAGCTATAGTCAAAAGGTACAAATCAATAAAAAAATATATCTTCCGCTATCCAATAAGCCTCCTCCACCAAAACGGAAGCCGCTTCCAGTGGTTTCATTGTATGGCAGATTCGCCAACGGGGGTCAGAGCGCTTCCATTGTAGCAATGGACGCAAAACTTGGTCAGCTCTCACAAATTTATCACGAAACGGTTGCTTTCCAAAGTCGACGACGCATCGACTGAAAGAACTGCTGATCAGTGATGGAAAAGTTCGCAAAAAATCACTATGACTCGCGAACTTTTCCCTTCGTGAAATATCGCGAACTTTTCCAACACTGCTGCTGATGAAGAACAATGAGGAAGACCACACAATGGTTGCTGCTGAGTAAACAGACGATCGCGTGACACACATTGAGAGTGGTCTGCTTCTATCAACAGCCGAGTGAACACTGGAGAATTTGTTTATTATCGAGTGTGAAACCGAACTTTTTGTTAGTGCGAACCTCAACCTGAGGTAGGTTTTAAAAACAAACGATCAAACTGACGTTTGTCAGAAAACAAGCAGAGCCGATATTGAGTCCCGATCCTGGTTGGAACTTAATAATAAACAAATTCGCTGTATGTTCAACCAAGCGGTGAAAACTATCGATTTTAAATTGGCTCACACTGGACTAGCCTATCGGTCCGAAGTGCATCGATGAACGTACCCCATTCTAGTCGAAATTCTAATACTACACATGGTACCTCGCAACATCTCAAAATTGAGTAGAACATGCTCATTTCAGCGGGAATTATGGCAACTCAATAGTAACTTTTGCTCATGGCGTTCTCACGCAGAGTGTTTTAAAACCACTCTGCGATATTTTCAGCCGGGAAGTTTGTTTTTTTTTTATTTGTTTTGATAAAAAAAAAATGTAAATTGCCTGCTCCAGATTCATTTAACGGGAACTGTAGACGACTGAAAACCGTCTCCGCATGCAATTCCTACTTACCTTAATACCACAGACAAACAAACGTAACTCTTTGAAAAAGTTTTTCTTGAAATCATACACGCTATTTCAAAACAACCGAAATTTGCGTAGAATCCACCCAGATCGGTCAAAACTGAACCTACCCAAGAATGAGTAAACTATGTTGGGAGTGACAAGTTGACAAATGAACAAAGTCGATCGGATTCATGTTGCTGTTGTCCATTTGTCAACTTGTCACTCCCAACATAGTTTACCTATTTTTGAATAGGTTCCGTTTTGATCGATCTGGGTGGATGCTACCCAAATTTTGGTAGTTTTGAAATAGCGTGTAGTATCTCAAAACATAGGATCTCAGTAACGAAATCTCTCGGGCTTCTCGCGGAAAACAAGCTTGCTCGCTAACTCGCAAACCATATTGCATAAAAGTTTTATAGAATGTATAGAAACGTCAAAGTGATCCAATGTCAGCGATCCGGCAAGTAATTCACGGAACTGATAATATTCAAATCATCCGTTAAATACACAAGTTTAACGTCTGTTTGTCTGTGTTAATACATTTCGGCTGGTGTTAAAAAATAATTTCGTCGTTTCTTACACGCTATTTAAAAAAATAATCAAATTTGGGTAGAATCCACCCAGATATATCTAAACTGAACCCACCCAAAAATAGGTAAACTTTGTTGGGAGTGGCAAGTTGACAAATTAAAAACGTCGATCGGATTCATGTCGATGTTGTTCATTTGTCAACTTGTAACTCCCAACACAGTTTACCCATTTTTGGGTAGGTTCAGTTTTGACCAGTCTGAGTAGATTCTACCCAAACTTGGGTAGTTTTGAAATAGCGTGTAGAGCGTTGGCTCTAACACAGCTGGCACAAGTCCTGGATTTGGCTGACTGTGGGCTTTTACCAACAATCAATACGAAACTAACGATTTTAAATTGGCTCACTACTTTACTAGCAAACGATTAACGTATCCCATTCTAGTCGAAATTCTAGTACTACACAATGTTTGTTTTGATTCGCTATGAATGTTTGACAGATAAAATGAGGGGCTATTGGTTTTTCCTATATTTCGAGGGGTGAATCGATTAACTTGGGACCGAAGAGAGTACCAAAGCTGAGCCAAAAAGTTGAGCACGTTATTTCGGGACCTTCTAGTCTTAGAGTTACCTCTATGCTTTTACTTTTTTTCCTTTTGACATTTCTCGTTTACTCAGATTTTGACAGCCTAATGCATCCGACGAAATTCAGTACGATCGACTCACCCAGTGAGTAAGCTGAAGTAAGCGTGCACTTTGTTTGTTTTGATACGCTATGAAACTTTGTCAGATAAGATAAGGGGTTCATGGATTTTCCTATGTTTCTAGGGGTGCATCGATTAGCTAGGGACCGAAGAGAGTACCAGAGCTGAGCCAAAAAGTCTAGCACATTTCTTCGGGACCTTCTGGTCTTAGAGTTATTTTTATGGTTCAACCCCATCATGCGACACATCAAATAACATGAGACTTCCAAGAATAGTTCAATGGATCCCAAATCTAGCTCCAAAAACTTCTTTGGCCACGTCCGGACATAAAGCTTGAGTCATTTAATATTGGGACGCACCAAAACGGATGTATCTCAGAACCATATTAATGATATATCAATATTGAAACTAACGATTTTAAATTGGCTTACTACTCGACTAGCCTATTGTTCCCAAGCAAATCGGTTAACGTACCCAGTTCTAGTCAATATTCTAGTACTACACAATGTTTGTTTTGATTCGCTATGAAAGTTTGACAGATAAAATTTTTGGTACGTTAATCGATTTGCTTGGGACCAATAGTTTAGTCAAGTAGTGAGCCAATTTAAAATCGGTAGTTTCATATTGATTGTTGGTATTACCATAGAGGTAACTCTAAGACAGGAAGGTCCCGAAAAAATGTGCTCAAATTTTTGGCTCAGCTCTGGTACTCTCTTCGGTCCCAAGCTAATCGATGCACCCCTCGAAACATAGGAAAATCCATTTTATCTGTCAAACTTTCATAGCGAATCAAAACAAACATAGTGTAGTACTAGAATTTCGACTAGAATGGGGTATGTTAATCGTTTACTTGGGACCAATAGGCAAGTCAAGTAGCGAGCCAATTTTTTTTTTTTTTTCCTTTGGTTTGTTTTTTCCGTCGATCTTGTTTTCCGTGCTGAGCACCAATGCTACCGACGTGCCAGGAAGGCAGCTTCTACACCTGGACCCTACCTATCGACCCATCAACTCATGAACCGGGGACCAACGGCTTTACTTCCCATCCGAAGGAAGGCGTGATCAGAGATGTTATGCCTCAGAACATCCCGGCGGCGCCGACTGGGATTGAACCCAGGCCTGCTGGGGTGAGAGGTAATCACGCTTACCACTAAACCACCGGCGCCGTTAGTGAGCCAATTTAAAATCGTTAGTTTCCACTGGTTGGTATTACTGTTACGTCTTTTCAGGAACATATGGAAATTCGGGAAGTGGACTTTATTGTTAATTTATAATATTCGTTACCACCATAAAAGTGGTTTCCACAATATAAGAAACCCATGTTAAGCAGAACACATTTGCAATAATCAATAATTATTTCATCCCAACTGACTTCGTTTTATGCATACTAAAGCCCGCATTAGTAAGGCAATAAATTTTCACCTTCACACCTTAATTCCTCCAAACGATTACTTTCGATCGCCTTTCCGTCGCTCCTTTCTCCCATTGTCGGAATTATATGACCACTGTCCCCTCCTCCCCCAGCAGTTCATTTCTTATTCATTCACCGTCACCCAATAATCCCCACTCAACACCCGAACCAGAATGACTCACCCGAGCACCGCACCTGTCCCACCTTGACGTGCCGGACAAAACTCGACACAGAAACCCGAAACACCGAAAATCCGTATCGTTTATTATTAATTTTACCGCATTACAACAAGATTAGTGCAGACATTAGTGTCGATTTTTCCGTTTTCCCTTTCGACCCAGTCCCAAAACAACAGAACTGTTGCGCTTCTTCACCTTGTTTGCTGCCGTGTCAGGTTCCACACAAAAACCGCTTCCACGAAATCACCTGCGCGTCCTAATCCAATATACAGCTTAACGACAAGTCGATAATAATATTTTCTTTTCTTCTCCTTTCCCGTTCCACAGACTATGATCGTTGCAAGGTGCTGAGCCTGAAGACGTCATCCCACTCAACCACACCAGACAAAACCTAATCTACACAGAGAGACTTTTCACGGAGAGAAAAAATGCTGGCTAACAAAGCAATTCACGTGGCACTGCCGGCGGTACTGTTGTTACTCCTATGGCTGCCATTCGGGTGCCGAGCGGGCCTGGACAACTGCCCACCCCAGTGTCAGTGCGACGACGACACGTTGGAGGTGACCTGCAAAGAAGGTAACCTGGATGTGCTTCCGATCGCATTGAACCCATCACTGCAGCGACTATCGATTCGAAACAACAAACTCAAGACCATCGATTCGTCGATGCAGTTCTACACGGAGTTGACCTTCCTGGATTTAAGCTACAACCATCTGTTCAACATGTGGCCGGGAACATTTGCCAATCAGAAGAAGCTGGTCGAGCTGCATCTGAATCACAACAAGGTGGGCTCGATCACGAACCGGACTTTTATGGGACTGGAGTCCCTGTTGATACTGAACCTGCGGGGGAACTTTTTGGACGAATTGACCGAGGGAGTGTTTGTGGGGTCGAAGAAGCTAGAAGAGCTGAATTTGGGCCAGAATCGAATCGGAAAGATCGATCCGAAGGCATTCGATGCTTTGGTGAACCTGAAGGTGCTATATTTGGATGATAATACACTGAATGCAGTACCATCGGCGGCGTTTGCGCCACTGGTGGTCCTAGCGGAGCTGTATCTAGGGATCAATTCGTTTGCAACGATCCCGAAGGATGCGTTCATGCAGCTGGGCAAACTGAGCTGGTTGGATTTGCGAGGAGCAGCGCTGGCAAATGTAACAAGCGAGAGCTTCAACGGGCTGGATGCGTTGAGGGTACTGGATTTGTCGGATAACAGATTGAGCCGGATACCGACTCCGGAGTTGACGTCGTTGACACGGCTGGAAGAGCTGGCGTTGGGTCAGAATGATTTCGATAGCATTCCGATGGCGGCGTTCGCCGGGATGGCGAATTTGAGAAAGATTGACATATCAGGTTCGCTGAAGCTGAATAGAATCGAGAGTGGAGCGTTTTCGGCGAACGCCAATTTGGAGGAGATTGTGATAGCTTCGAACAAAGCGTTGGCGGAGATTCAGGATGGAGCGCTCAGTGGATTGCCGCATCTGAAGAGGCTGGTGCTGAAGGACAATGCTCTAACGACTTTGTCAGATGGGTTGTTTTCCTGGAATGAGCTGGTGGATTTGGATCTGACGGAGAATCCGATCGTTTGTGACTGCAGGATTCTGTGGTTGAGAAATGTGCTGGTAAACAAGAGTAACAGCAGCCAGAACAAGACTCCGGTGATATGTGCGTCACCGGATAGATTGCGAGAACAAGCCCTGCAAGCGCTATCGCCGGAACTGTTGGGTTGTTCGCATACGGATCCAACACAACAGGCGATTATTTGCGGTGTCCTGGTAGCAGTTGCAGCGCTCATTACAACATTAGTACTGGTAATCTACAAATGCCGGAGACGGATCCGGGAGGTGGTGAAAGGTGGCTGGGGAAACAGTGCCATCGGTCGGAAGGAACGTGAATACCAAAAGACCTTCTCCGAGGAGGACTACATGGGCCGGCTGCCGAACCCGTGCGGAATGGGTGGTGTACACACGACAACGTTGAACAACTACCAAATCAACAACCACCACTCGCATGGCATCCGGCACATACCGGTAACGGAACTATAGCTAGAGGCTCCCCCTCCCCCGCCTCGGAGGGGAGGTTCGCAGCATCAAATCTGCCCTGGCGGCAGTGCCACCTGCAACGGAACGGCTACAACCTTCCTGCAGCTAAGCCAGGAGCATCTGAAGCAGCCGGGAATGAAACTGTTCCCCAATTACACCCCACCGATTCCACCCCATCACAACAGCAGCAGCAGCAACAACAACAGCAGCAGTAGCGCAACGACAGCGACGACGACAGCTTCCGCCAACTTCTCGACATTGTCCAACAATGTCAACAACCATCACTACCATCAAATCACCTACCAGACGCAAACCCTCGCACCGCTTCGCCTGAACCAGGACCACTTTAACTCGAAAACGAACACCCTCGGCGGTGGCCCGAACGGCCTTCCCAACGGCCGACCGAAATATCAGACCCATCATCATCACCATCACCACCACAGCCTCCACGAGCAACAGCATCCCTCGCCGCATCCGCACCATCCCCACCACGAGCTGCCCTCGGACCACGAGATGGACGTGGACGGTTGCAGCGCCAGCATCGTCAGTGGCTGCGATAATGAGGATGACAGCAATAGTGCGACCACATCACCCCCGCACAGCCCGTCCTTGCCGACGCCGCCGGAGCTGCCGATCCGGAACGGCCTAGTGGCGGCGAATTACAATGTAAATACACTTAATCACATCGTCGTCGGCAACGGTGGCGGCAGCGTTGGTGGCGATGGCAAAATGTCGGCCTCGGTAGCGGTGACAGCGGGAGCAGTAGCGGGAGGTCGCAAGACGATGCGGCACTATCACTGATGCGGACAAGGGAGAGCAGAGCTGGTTCCCTAGAAGGGGACAATCGGAAGTGTGTTGTACAGACTATTTAACGTGATTGTGATTCTTTTTCTAACTAAAATATGTAACGAGAAAGGCAACGCTCTGTATTATAATGGATTAGGAATTGAGGTTGGCTGGCTTTTCCGGGCAGGTGCCATCTTTTCGAGGACGAGTATCGCTGTAAGCGTAGGATGAAATGGAGTGGAATCAGATGGCGATGGATTAGAATACAGTTGATTCAAAACTCTTGTTTTGAGAGTAAACAAACTTTTGAATGGCAAACGATGCAATAGACATCGGACTCTAAAATAAAACCGTGAAAAACTAAAAACACTAAATTTGCATTTTTGGACTTTTGGTTCTTAATGAATTTACTCCACTGTGCTAGTTCACGATTAAATTTGAACACATAAGTTTTGGAATAAAACAAAGTAGCTGTCAGCTTAATCCAGGATATATTTTTATTTATATATTTATATATTAAAGGCTGACTAAAAGCAAATTGGTACGCACAAAAAGACCTGTAATTCGTGATTCAATAAGTTTAAAAAGCCCATTAATGGTTGCTTTACAGTACTTTTATTAAAAATTCAAAGTTACAGCATTAGATGGTTACATTTCTACAGTTCGTACGAAATCTCGAAACTTCCTCTTGATGGAGCCTATCAGTGCCCGCGCAGTGGAAAAGGACACGGAATCAGCGCATTTCTACCATTTCACCCGCATTTGCTGGATGTCCCTTGACTGCCCCTGCTTTGAAATTGCCCAGTATTTTTCGATTGGTCGAAATTCCGGGCAACTCGGAGGATTCATTAGCTTGGGGTCAAAAACGATCTTGTTGGCAGCATACCACTCCAGGACCACCTTGGAGTAGTGGCAGCTGGCCAAATCGGGCCAAAAGATGACTTTGATCCTATTCTAGCAGATGAACGACAATACATGCTTTTTCAGGCATTCTTCGATGTAAACTTGGGATGTCATCGTCGAGGATGTGATGAATGGCTCCGTTTTCAGGCCACAACTGCACATTGCTTGCCAAATCATGGCCTTCTTCGCGAACTTGTCGGTAAACACGAACTTGAATCCTCCCGGCACATCCTCACGTCCAGTCGCGATGTAAACCTGTTGACAGGGAAGCTGCTTAAAATCGAGTTTGATGTATATTTCGTCATCGATCAAAACACGGTCGTACAAGAGCCTTGCCCGCTTTTTGGCCACGAAATTCTGCTTCATGTGCCGGTTCGGATGTTTACTGGCTTTGTACGACTTGTATCCTTCCCTGGCAAGGCCGTTCCGCACCGTTTGAAAGTTGGCGTTGTACCATCTGGTCACACCTCGGATCGAAAGACCGGGGTTGACTTTAACACACCTTAGCACCTTGTTGCGCAACTGACGATCCCTGGTTCCAGTTTTTCGTAGATCCGCTGATTCCTTTCCACACTCAACGAACTGTTCAACGGTTCACGGTTAGAAAAAGAAAATGTGTTTCTTCAGCAAAGATGCTAAACCTAGATAGTTCATCAATTTTGTCAAACATTGTTCATAAAAACTGATTACTACTGATAGTTTTACCAGGGCTGTGGAGTCGGAGCTGGAGTCCCGGATTCAGAGTCGGAGAAAAAGTACCAGCTCTACCTCCGACCAGGGCTGGCAAATGTCATTTTCAATGAAAGATCTCACGCGATATTTACAGAGATACTTCTGTCACTATCATCGGATGAGAAAACGATGATAGAGATTTTCTTCAAAATCTCATCGAATTTTTCGTCATGACAAAACATGACAGGGTTGTGATCATCGTAATTACTAGCTCATTTATTGCTTTTAAAGTTACTTGTACCGAGAAAATCGTAATAATATATTCACCCTACCGATTAAATACGGTTTTTTGCTTGAATTAATCTAAATCAGTTAGAAATGTAGATTTTAAAACCGCAATAGAATTATTCTCATGAGTGCTTGATCATTGGAAAATGACAAGAAAGCTAATGATAGGTAGTTTCGTCTCGTGATAGTGAGAGGACCTGTTTTCTCATTCTCACATGACGGCTGTGATATTTACCAGCTCTGCCTCCGACTCCGACTGTTATGAAAAATTATTCAAAAGTAGAGCCTTCCAAAATGTGGTTCACGTGCAACTTTCTTGGCTCTCTAACTTGAAAACTAACTTGAACTGTAGCTGGGTTAACTGTTGATTTTGACCTAAATATTTACTTAATTACAATATCATGGTTTGGAAGTTAGTATTTTATTATTCTATAAGGTTTCAAATGATGCAGAACTAAAACACTTTCGTACGTTATTCAGGGCACAAAAGAATGACAGTCAATGTGATTTTGTCAAAGTAACAAGTAAATGAGAGTAAAAAATCAGATTTCCGAATAATTTTCCAGAAATGTCTAGAGATATGATTCAAAATGATTTTAACATTCTCAATGCTATTTTTGTGATTAATGGGTTACTAAGATTGTTTTGACGTTTTCAAGTGGAATTTTAAAATCATTTTGAAAAGTTTTGGCCATTTGATTTTTTTTAATCATATCTGGCGTTCTTAGGACCATTCCCACGTGATATTGCAAGTTTTATCAAGGTTTTAAAGCGCTCTCTAAGAGCAGATCATGCCGTTTCAGGTCATTTTGACGACCATTTTAATGTTTTTAGTACTCGATTTAGGAAGGTTTGGCCATTTTGATGCCATACACATATAGGCCATTTTGATGTTTTTGCACCATTTTTGGCAGTTTTGTCAGTTTTTGACTCTGCAAGGTGCTATTTATGAAAATTTTTGGTTAATTTTTGTCGTTCCTACGGCCATTTTGGAAACTTAAAACAAATTTGAAAAGTCTTGGCCATTTGGATTTTTTTTAATTATGTTTGGCGCTTTGAGTACAATTCCCAAGTAACATTGCCAGTTTTATCAAGGTATGAAGGCGTTTTTTAAAATCAAATCATGCTTTTTCAGGTAGGAAGTGATAAAAATCCCCATATAGAAATTGAGAGAAGTGGGAATAATTAACTTTCGGTGCATATTCAGGTGAAAAAAAGTGAACGAAGACCTTAAAAAATAAATCAGGGACTTTGTCGTTCAGTTTTTTCCCGGAAATCATTGTTAAACAAGCTACAATTAATTAAAAATGATTTTTTTTCCCATACAGTTTTACCTGCTTTACTACCAGTTCTCAGAGAGCCAAAAAATTCAAACTTGAGAGAGAGAATTTGCTCTCATGACCTCATGCCATGTATTTTGTTGATACTCGATTTGTGATTTCCCTTTCACAGATTATAAAATAGAGTGTCTGTCACTACAAATCATGTCTGTTACCTCTATATATGCATTTACTTTAACATTTGAAATCCCTCCTTTTTTACATATTCTGCGCAAGAGATAATTTATGCCCCGCCCCATACATAAAAATCGGTGGGAAATTCTGTGAGGGGTGGGCTATTTTGTGTGCAGAATGTGTAAAAAAGGAGGGACTTCGGATAATAATCTAAATTCATATATAGAGGTACCAGACATGTTTTGCACTGCAGTGTCCTCTGTGAACAATTATAAGAAAACAGATTGTGTGTAGTTTCCGATAGATGTCACCGCAAACAACAGCAGTGACATCTGATGGAATATGAATGCAGAGGCTTGACAAAATGATTAATTTGAGAAGGCCATTTTAATATTTCATTGCCATCAGTAAAGAAAGGTTAGACCATATTGATATTATCGGACCATTTGTGAGGCCATTTAAAGGCCATTATTTGGACCATTTTGGAGTTTTTCTTTTAAATAAGTTTTTACATATATGGTTCTATTTATGAAGATTTTTGGGCAATTTTTGCCGTTTCCGTGGCCATTTTGTAATTTTAAACCCAATATAAAAAAAACATTGCCCATTTGGATTATTTTTAAATCATGTTTGGGGTTTTGAGGACAATTACAAAGTTACATGGCAAGTATTTTTAAAAGCAAATCAGGCAATTTTGACAAGTCCATTTTAATATTTTAAAGACATCAGTCTAGAAAGGTTTAGCCATTTAGGCATGATTGGATCATTTTTGATGCCATAGGCCATTGTGACGTTTTTGGATTATTTTTGTTTGTTTTTTGCAATTTTGACATCTTTGGACTCTGTATAGGGCTATTTATGGAGCTGATTGGGCATTTTTTGCAGTTTTCATGGCCATTTTGGACTTTTTAAACCAATTTAAATACTTTTGGCTATTTGGAAATTTTTAAAATTAGTTTTGAAATTTTTAAGTCTATTCCCAAGTAACATTGCAAGTTTTATCAAGGATTTAAAACGATTTTAAGTGGAAATCTTGCCATTTAAATATTATTTAGCCATCAGTCTGGAAAGGTATGACCATTTTGACGATGTTGGATAATTTTTGACGCCATTTGTATGCAATTTTGACGTTTCTGAACCATTTTTGGACCATTTTTTGACCAATTTTGTGTTTTTTTGGGTGCTATAAGGTGCTATTAATGAAGCCTCTTAGGCAAATTTTGCTGTTTCCATGGCCATTCTGGAATTTTGAACCAACCAATTTGAAAAGTATTGACCATTTGAAGAAAAAATTCAAATCATTTTTGTCATTTTTACATGGCCATTCCCAAGTAAGATTTCAAGTTTGATCATGAATTTAAAGTGTTCTTTAAGAGCAAATCATGCTCTTTTAGGTAATTCTGACAAGGTTATTTTAATATTTTATAGCCACCAGTCTGGAAAGGTTAGGTCATTTTACCATTTTTGGACCATTTTTGACGTCTTTTCTATGACATATTGACGTTTATGGTCCATATGGTTTTGGTATTTTTGAGCAATTTATTGACTCTGTGAGGTGCTATTTGTGAAGCTTTTTGGTGTTTCCATGGTCATTTTGGAATTTTAAAACCAATTTGAAATGTCTTGGCCAGCTGGAATTTTTGTAAAATCATAGGATCGTTCTCAAGTTACATTGCAAGTTTTATCAAGCTTTTAAAGCGTTCTTAAAGAGCAAATGATGGTCCATAAGACTACAATAAACCACAATGGTTGCTTGGGTTGTAACGTTTAATGAAATTTCAGAATTATTAAAATAGTTGTTTGGCCGTTTTAATGATTTTAAGTATATTGCCTTAAAGCGGTTTAGGCAGGCTAATTTAACGATTGAGAGGCCATTTTTGGCGTTGTGACGTTTGAATGGTATTTTGGTCTTTTTCCAAGATAATATTGAGGATTTTCATGGCATTTCAAATGGCCATTTAAGCTTGAGGTGCCATATTTACGATTTTAAGTCTTTTTTTTTTGATTTCGTAATTTGGCCCTGTAAATTGACCTGGAGTCGATCATATAATATGTTGTTTTAATACTACTGTTTGCGCACGGTAGGACCTGTTTTTCTACGTTGTGTTATCATTCATTAAAAGAGACCGTCCTGCCATATACGTTTATTCAATTGTTTTTACATACAAAAGAGCTCATTACAGCTGATAAATAATAACACAGTGTCAATTAGTAGAACTGTTATTTTATGCTTACGGTAAAGACGGTAAAAGTCGCTTGCACGAGCAACTAAATATACACTGCAATTACTATTTCACAGTTTTCAGATTATTTGTGCAATTGGACTGATTTAGAGTTTTGGCACAATTTTGTCGTTACTATCCTGAATTTTTGAAGACTTCATGTTCATTTGGATAAAAAGGAGGAGGGTCGTGTTTTCAAGGACAGG